AGGAAGAGTGTGTGATATCATCCATGTTTAAGGAATTGAAAGAAAAAATGGAGGTAGGAATGGTGTTTTGTTCTACATAAAGATTGCATTTCATTGTAGCTTTATAATATCTCCCAGTTGAATGTGATTGGTTTGTCAGTTATTTCTATTACTGTAAAGGAGGACTTGAACTGAGATGGGTGGTGATTTTTAAGTAATATCCAATAAGGTAACTCATAGTATATAAGAGAAATGAAAAAGAAAATCACCAGTAAGTCTTTGGTTTCAGCATGTAAAAAGATCATAAACCAATTTTTCTGTTGTTCTTGGTTAATTTCATTTTTTGTAGAAAGGAAACAAACGATGGAATTTACTGGAAGCACCTGAGTCAACTCTATTTCCTTGGGATTTAAAATCTACTTATATCAGATGTCCTTCCTTTTTTGATAAACTTGTAAGTACATTGAACTCAGATTATATGCATTACATTTAAGTAAAGGAATAGCTATTCCAGTAAAGCTTCAGTGTTTAAGTAACAATCACTAATATGTTTCAGTCTTTTAAATATGATTTAAAAGACTGAGTGGAGCCTGGACATCATGTGCCTTCACGTATTGCAGATACATTTTATGTCTCTAAGGATTTTGGAAGAAAAAGGTGTTTCTTATTTTTGTTTTTGTTGTTCCCCACCCTTTTCCTTTTAGGCCAAAGAACCGGTCTCACCGCAACCGATCGAAAACGCCCACGTCTTGCTCTATTTGGGAGATTCTGTAACAACAGATCACATATCCCCTGCTGGAAGCATTGCAAGGAGCAGTGCTGCTGCCAAGTATCTCACCAACAAAGGGTAAGGACTTCTCATCTCAGACAGCTCCAACGATGTCAGAACTGCCTCACGTGCCAAATAATGATCAGTGCTGCTGCTTTCCTTTATAAATGCCTGTCTGCATAAAGTGGAGATAATACATGGATAAGCGAAATAGTAACTGTTACTGGCATTAATAAGTAATCACTTGTCTTGTGATCCCAGTCATCGCCTTTCTTGCAGTCTCCGTCTAAGGCTCCAACAAACAGCTGAGACATGAAGAAGGCATTCTCACAGCTGTTGTTACAGTAACATCCACTGCCAAATGCGTGCCAAAGGAAAAATAATTTACTAATTTACAAATCAGGTTAATGTGAGGTTGGTCACTGTTACTGCCGTTGGCCTCAAGAGCAGACAGAGATACACAGAGCAGATCAGAAGCTCTAGAAACAGACAATTTTAAAAAATGAAGCCCAGTTTTATAACTGCATGTGGTTGGTGCTCTGACTTAGCGCTGCAGCAGTGAGCACCCTCCAGCAATAGTGGGTGCCTTTCACCTCCCCTGAAGTTCTGAGAAGAACTGAGCCAGTCAGTGGCACACCTCTGCCGAGTGTTTTGGGAATCACATTGTCAGGTTGTGTTGCAGAGATGTAGCATTTTACAGTATCCGTGAAGCAGGACAGGGTAATAGACTGTGGCGTGGACTCTTCTTTCTAATGAACGTCTGAATGAGTAGTATTACAAGAAAAACAGAATTAATGGGCCTTTAATCCCAGGATGGTCATTTGATTTATAAGTAAGTAAATCTGTCTTGTTGGTGTAACGCCTGTTCATGAATATGCTAGAAGAGGTAAGAGGATTAGTAACCAGGCTTGTTTTCTAGAACAGTTGCCCCATAATTCTTCTGTAAGTACCATGCTGCTTGTAGCTCTTTATAATGAAGTCACAGAAAATTAATTTAAAATGGCAGCTTTCCTCAGGAATAATCTAGCAGCAATTTACACATTTTGTTCGTAATTTATAATTATTAAATTTGTTGGATGAATAGTTCTTTATGTCTTGCACTGAAAACTTAAGAGATGCTGCAGTAATTATAAAAATCATAATACTGTTTTAAACCAGATAATCTTAAAAATGACCAATTCCCTTTTAAATATTCTTTTAATTCCAGACTCACACCTCGTGAATTCAACTCTTATGGAGCTCGAAGAGGTAACGATGCTGTGATGACAAGAGGTACCTTTGCAAATATCAAGCTTCTGAATAAGTTCATAGGAAAACCAGCTCCTAAAACAATTCACTTCCCATCAGGACAAACGGTAAAAATCCATTTGTTTGTGTAGCTACTCTGAAATTGTGATGTGGATTTAGAACTCACTCAGACTCTTTCACTTTGTTATTCCACAGCTAGACGTGTTTGAAGCAGCGGAGCTGTACCAGAAAGAAGGCATCCCTGTAATTATTCTGGCAGGAAAGAAGTACGGACTGGGTAGCTCAAGAGACTGGGCTGCAAAGGGGCCCTTTTTACTGGTACTGCTGGTTTTTGTTGGGGTTTGGGGGTGTGTGTTTGTTGTTTCTGAAAAACACATTTAGTTTAGGGCATGAATGTGTTTAGAAACTCTCCTCAGTCTTTAACATGATACTTCTCAATAATTTCTTTGCTAGAATCTTGATAGAATATCATCATGAATCAGGATAAATCTGAGTTTCTTAACTAAGATGGTAACTTACCATCTTAGACTCCAGCCTTTGAGATAAATTAGACATTTATCTAGTGCTGACCTCTCTTTGGTCTCTGTGGGGTATTAAATATCTAGCTAGTGGAGACTAATTTCCACAAATATTCAGAATATATTCTGAGTCAGCCATTTATTCTTGTGATGTACTGGAAGCAATTAACATTTGGGCTAGGATTTTCTGCCTGTGAACTACAGCCTGGTCACCAGCTGTTATCAAACCCCATTTCATGCTGTCCAGGCCTGCTCTGGCTTACCCCCTTTCCTGGAGCTGTAAAGCTAAACACCGTTACCTACTTTCAGGACTCTACAAAGCACACTCGATTTACTTTTCAGTTTGAATTGCAAGATTTTTGGACATAATATGTATTTTAAGCTTGCTTTTGCATTTCACTCTGACTACTGTACTGAAATAGAAAATGACTTGTATTTTTGCAGGGTGTTAAAGCTGTCCTCGCTGAGAGCTATGAGAAGGTTCATAAAAGTCAGTTGATTGGAATTGGCATAGCTCCACTTCAGTTTCTTCCTGGGGAAAATCCAAGTACTTTGGGTCTCACTGGCAGAGAGCAATTTTCTATATTGTTCCCTCCAGAGCTGTCGCCCGGAATGACTCTGGATATTAAGGTATCTCTGCAAAAATTTTTTTTTTAATTTATCTATTGAATGTGCTGATGATTGAAAGCACAGAAAGGGAAGGTAATACTCATGACTGAAAGCAGGAAAAAACACAAACGTAATTCTCTTTGAATGTAAGCTTATAGTATTGCCTGAGGTTCATCATGACTACTGAAGTTTCCCAAAGTACAGATGCACGTGTTCTTTCTGTGTGACTTATTGTGGAACCTGAAATTCTTGGGCATCGTTTCCCCCCAGTGGGCACTGTATTGTTGAGTCTCGTCTCTCATTCAGACCCTTTAAACGACAAGGGTGCAACTATTTGAGAGGCTTCAGCTTCTGTGTGAAGGAACTATGTGCCCATGGTAATGTACTTTGTGCCATCTTAGCAAAATGGCATTTTCTGTTATCAATAGGTGCGTAGCACGTTCCCAGCTGGATCTAAACTGCAGTAAAATAAGCCTTCTGTCCCCAGCAGTGTCTCGTTTTGACGTGGCAGATGAGCAGGTTGAATTTGCTTGTGTTCAACAAAGCTTGGGATTAGAATGTTAACATTCTAAGGGAGGGGAAGTGAAAGCTAAACTCTTAATTGGTCTCTCTTTTTTGCTTTTGTTTTGAAGACAAGCACTGGAAAAGTATTCAGCGTGATTGCCTTGTTTGAAAACGATATGGAGATAACTCTCTACAAATATGGTGGAAGTCTAAACTTTGTGGCTCGAAGATTCTTATAGTAGCTACTGACTCTATGGGTACCTTGCATAACTGGTAATTCTGAAAATGCCTTGTGTGAACCCAGGAATCTGTACTGTGGAACTGCAAACAGTCCTAGTGTGCTCAAAGTTACTTCGTCCATGGATGTAAAAGATTGTGAATCATTGTAACTGCAACGAGATCCTTCCTGATTTTAAATAATATTCTAATGGTGCTATTAAACATTGCTAAAATCAACATGTGTATTGTGGCAGAGAGCTGTAAGTATGGAGGGGATGTTTTATCAGACCATTTTGTAAATAAACTATGCGAAATCTGAAACTGATTGTGCTGAAGATTATTATGTAAGATTTTCTGCAGTTGTTCCCACTGTAAATCTGTACTGCTGTTTGTTGGTTTAAGGGTAGCACATGGTATGGATTGTTAAAGGCCAAACAGAATTTTTTTCTTTTTTTTTTTTTTTTTCATCCAGTGCTTAAAACTCAGTTTTGAATTTCTTGCTCTTTAGGTTATGTGCTGAACAAAAAGCAGTCCGTGTGAGGCCCACAGTATCCTGTATCACAGACCATGACTTTCTTACCTTTATTATGGGATTATATTTCCTCTGGATCCAGATGTAAAACTGCTCACGCTATGAAATATTGTGTGTTTAAACTATGGGAAACATTTCTGCATTTAAAAAAATGCTTGCAGTTATTTTGTTCATGCAGGTTAAGTGCAGCAGCCCAGCTTTTTGGAAACCAGCAGTGTCCTTCGACTGAAGTTTGTCACATCTGCTTCAAGGATGCAGCTTGTCATTTCTGACATGAGGTTTCACTGTACTCTCTGCAATATCATCAGACAAAGTACCTCCCTGTAGTACTTTAACCTTTAAAAACATTTATTAGAACTGTTTAAATTCCTCTGCTTTAAATATGACCTGTGTCTAATATAGTAGAGGCAGCCATGCTGCCTTTTAATGCTTTCTAATGTGCTGGTCATTTACAGCTTTCCCAAACCAGCAGCAGATTCCTCTGCTGAAGCTCCCAGAACACTGAACAAATCTGACTCT